TCTGGGCTATGTTCACAATATTTCTGGGCTATGTCACAATATTTCAGGGTTATGTCACAATATTTCTGGGCTATGTTCACAATATTCTGGGTTATGTTCACAATATTTCAGGTTTTTGTTCACAATATTTTAGGGTTAGGAAACATGCATGACTGCTTCTCATATGATATCCACCCACGTCAAAAAATAATATTTTGGGGCCCACAGTGACATATACCATGCATGTAAGTTTACTTACATGAAATTCGAACATGAACTGCACGACGACCATCGCCCTTATTATCTAAATTTTCATAAATACAGCTTAGTCTGGAAAATCATGTGCAACCAACCACACATGGATGTATTATAACAGCTAAATCATGTGACTTAAGTTGATCAATACGCAGCTACATTTACCACTGAAAACCTGTCACACGATCAAAAACATTGGTTCAGATATCAAGAGGACATTGTCAAATTGCTACAAATTTACCAAGCACTTTAGGCTAATTAATAACCAATGAATAATAACTATGGAACCATAATGGTGAAAATATAAATGGAAAAAATATAAATTACTAAATTTGCTATATAATTATTAATCAACACAAGTAAATTGCTACCTTTCACAAAATATAATTCATATGTTTTTCATATTTTTTGCAAAATGTTTTATCAAGATCTATAGTCAAAAGTAATTTATGCCCATTTAGTGTAAAATCATAAAACAATTACGGTATATAAAAAATACATAAAAATAAGTACTAGTAAAACATTTTGAATTTTCTAGGTGATCGGTTCCTGAAAGCACTCCGCTATCAAATGGAGGAATGTTAACCATGCAGGCAGACGTTAAGATAAATAAATGCAACCAAAATTTTGATGAGAAATAATACAGTGTCATAAAGGGTTGAACCCTGGGACTAGAGTCAATAAAGTGGTCTATCTTGAAATAAATTGTTACAATAAATAAGCCATTTGGTCAAAGAAAGAAAAGGGGTATACTCCCAAAATAATTTTTTTAATATTTCTGCTAGTTATTTGCTCAAATAAACACCATTGCATATAAATGCAATTGTACATGACCATTATTTCTTTAGATACAAACAGAATTCATAAGTGCGGGGAAAGTAAACAAATTTGACATCCTTATTAGACAGACAGACTGCAGCAATGACAGCAGAATGTACAAGGTCCACAAGTTGTTGTTTGAGAAGCAGCCATGAAATAAGACATGATATATGTGCCCTTTGCAGGAAAACTACATACAATGCAGACATGCTCTAAATATCTATTTCTCGAATTTACTCAAATTCTCAAATATCCAACTAATTGTTGTTTCACTTTTATTGTAGCTAAAATGTTGTGGGTTGGCAGAGGGGTAATTTTCTAAATTTCAATAAAATTAGCTGATTTGCCAGCAACAAGTCATGTCTACGGCAGTCTACAGCCAGGCAGCATTAAAATCTGATTATACATTATTGCCAGACACACAATAAAAAGAGAGTTCAAACTCCTGACAGTCCAATTATCGCAGGAAAAATTGTGGCATTTCTAAAATTAATATTTAATCTTTTAGTACTATCAGAATATAATATTAAGATAAATATTTATCAAAGATGTCACTTAAAGTGGGACTATTTGGTTGCAAAAATTTACAATAAGCAGGAACCTTTCAACAATGAATAAATGCTTAAAGCATATTATTTAAGGAATCAATTGCTTCTTGTGACCCATCTTTTGACATCGCAATAAATGCTACCCATTTAAATTCAAATTTCATGCTCTTAACCTAAATCTATTATTTTCACTTGGAATTAATTTACGCTATTTTCGCTGATGGAATGATTCAGTGAAAATAAAATCTAGTGAATATACCATTTTTCCTATATTTCAACTCATTAAAAATCAGTGAGAATAAATTCCATACAAAACACCCAAAAAGTCTTTTCGGGGAAAATTAATTCCAGCTAAAATAAAGTTTTCTACAGTATATATTGAAAAAAAAGGAATATATATCATATTTTGGTTCTTAATATTGAATAACTAATTAGTAATTTATAAAACGTCACTAGACAAATCCTGACTAGGCTTTAGAGTATTGTACCATAGTATGTTGACATTAGAATGATGTCATCACATATCATATATTACAACACTGGTTAGTGGAAAAACAAGTGAGATTCAGACATACTAAAATAAGCAGAATTTGATTCTACTACTGCAGGTTTTATTTACTTATATATCATCAGACTGCTGACAACAAGCAGATATCAGACATAAAACAGGGCAATAAAAAATTGCCATTGTTGTTAGGTTAACCTGGTGGTAAATATTGTGAATGATATTTTCACGTTTTTGTGAATATATAACATTCCTGAGAACAGAATTTTGCAGACATAACTGTGAATTAGTGTCTTTGGGACCCAGAAAAAATATTCACTGCTGCAATAATTTGTGATTTTCACAGACTTAGGAAAATCTGTCTCTTGAAAAATTGAAGTGGTCTACAGAAAACTCAAGAAATTGATATACATGTCAACAATACTGAGTAAAAAATAGTTTACTGGAATGACTAACATGCCCTTCAACATAAAAATATAAAATTATATATTGAATCCTTTCAATGATCGTTTTCCCAATACATAAATATTTCGATTTGGCAATCACATGATTTTTGAATTCTAAACTTATGTTGTTGGCAAAATGTAGAAATGATAATAATCGGTCATAATAGTAGATTATTAGTAGTAGTAGTCTGTCATTTTGTATAATTGTGATTTTAATAAAATTTGGTCTCAAATACATCTTTGAAATTTCTTCTCTGTCAATACCTCAAAACCACACAAATTCTTGCTTGCTTACTGAGAATAAAAATCATGATAGCAATGCTCTTAAATTGTGAACATGCCAAAACCAGACACATTTGATCAAGACATCTCATCTCAGTATTGTGTGACTGTCATTAGATAAATCCATATTGTCCATGTAACATTCTAGATTTCTATTTTTGGATCCAAATTTGCCATAAATTTTTCCCGACAAAATTTTGTTGAAACATTTGGCAAATTTTTCTGTAATTTTCTATAATTCCTTTGTTAATTTTGGAGCAAGTGGTAAAAATGTTATATTTGCTACAGAATTTGAGCAAAATTTTTGAAAAATTTGAATAGTTGAATTTGCTGTCCAAATTGTAACAGCAAATTACGAGTCATTGAATTTTTGCCATAATAAACGTTCACAGTTAAATAATCTTATAATGTTCACAGATATTAAATTTCACAAAAAATTACTGATTAAAGAACAACAATTACATCTGCACGTTTTCCTGGACTCAATAAATCACCTCTCACGAAAGCAAAGCAGTTAACACTTCTACAATATATAAGCTTACAAAAATAATCTGACATTTAAAATTACAATGTTTAAGAATAAAAAGATTATAAGCAATACATGTATGAATAATGTAGATAATGGGGTCTTATGATTTCATAGTACAGTCCCAGGGGATGACAGCTTCCCCTTTAAGGTTGTTTCTTTTCATAAACATTGAAATTCACACTGTATTAAATATAAGCTTCCTTTTCAAATTTATTGATTACAGTCACCTCATTCACGGATATACGACTTAGTTAAATACAGTAATGACCTTTAATAATTGATTTTTTTAATCATTGTCGTATTACTTCATTAATTTAATGAATACGATAATATTTATGAGATTTCAGTGTGAGAAGCAAACAAGCATGAATTAATTATCTCCCTGCGTACAATGGTCATTCGGAAATGAATAAAGCGTCAATGAACTCCAACAAAACATATAATAGTATATTTACAACAACAATTTAATATATCACACAGTAAAAATGTTTTACATATTGCAAGCCCATATAGGACAACATTATCAGACATCTTTCTTGAAATAAGAGAGAAAATAAATTATAAAATAAACTGCTATGACAAGATAAATTTTGTTAAAAACGGTACTGGTCATAAAAGCAGAAAGCATATATTTTTTTTTTTCAAATAAAATGAAATATTTTATCTTCTGAATAAAAACCTTTTCTGTGGCGGTTAAAAACAAAAAATTAAATTAAATTAAATTAAAATGAGCTTACCTGCCGAATACAGTGTGCTTGTTGTCTAGGTGTCTACATGATCGGAAAGTCAGGAAACTGACGAGAGAACGGATTAAATTACGAGAATTAAAAAAAAATTTAGTATCATGGAAAGCCTTACAATGTGTATAGTACAAGACCCAGTCGCTTTCTGCACACAGTCACCTATCGTGTCAATGCTCTATCATGCAGAGTTACCTAGAAATTTGCATAACAAGCAATTTTGAAAATTAGCTAAATTGCAATGCAAATTTGTCCGACGTGCTAAAAAAACACTCGCTCACATTAGCCAATAAAGTAAAATGTTTGATTTTATAAAATGAGCAAATACGGAGGTTGTCATGGTGACTAAAGTGATTGTGTCTCCGAACACTTAGATATTATTTATGATAGTCTATGGTTTTGAGGGTCACTTAAAGGTAAAAAAACAACACCCATTTAAGGCCTTAGAGGGCGCTGTTCAAATATGATATCTGTATTATTTATCCGACTAAACTATATTTTTTAAATCATTTAAAGACTCATTTTCAGCAACCAGTGTCAGCAATATATCAAATTTATCTAAAATTAAGTTTAGAACTTTTAAAGAAAAAAACATTGTAAAGAGCATGATTTGAAATAAAGTGAGATAATATTGGTAATTGTAATTTCTATCCCATAATTCATTGCAAACAGACTCACTACAAGCCCAGTGAATACAGAAATTGACTTTGCCTCAAACTATGATGAAAGTCAGTGCTTTTTATGATCTGGCGTATACATTCTGTCTGCAGTGGTTGCCACTAGCTCTGATTACACTAAAAATGTGAACTCTAATTCACTTATTCACTAACAAATATAACTCCAATTACCAAATACATTGATTTTGACAAAGTGAAAATACTGTTATGAATTGTTCATAGAAGGTCTGCAACTAAAAGTGAAATTTAAAAAATATCAATACAGGAAATACTCAAATTCTAGCATAGAATAATTGTAAAAATACTGACACAAATAAAAATTCTTCTAAAATGTTTCTAATGATAAAACATAATACAGTATCCTAACATTCAGTTCATTCAATGTATCTTATTATTAAAAATGAAATGAAAAAAAATATAGAGAAGGAATGTACAAGAAAAAATAATACTTACAACTGTGATTTATTTGTGTTCGTTCCTGAGTTTGCCATACTCAAAATACCACGTCCTGAATGTGTCAAATTAGGTTTGAATTCATCTTTGAAAGGTTTTCCCCATGCAGACTCGCCACCTGAAACAAATCACCCAGACATTATTAGATTTATTATGCCAAAGCCCACTATACTACACCTTTATTTAGATAATACATCACGCACCAGATAGATACTACAAAATGGTATAAATCTTTGCTGAGGTAAGGATTAAGTGAAAATAATATCCAGCGAATATACCTTTTTTCCTATATTTTACTTTAAGGTCGCCAAAAATCAGTGAAAATAAATTCAATACAAAACACCCAAAATGTCTTTTCAGTGAAAATTAATTCCAGCTAAAATAAAGTATTTTACAGTAACAATGTTTAATAAAATATACATTGTAGTTTCAGAAATTACACTTTCGCTCGCCTTTTGGTGATCAAGCTGGTTATGTGATTAAAAGTTTAACCAATCGTTTGCTGAAAATGTCTGAAAAGACAGCCGAAAACAGTAACAGCAGGTGATACTTTAACACTTGTTATCACCATAGGCTGTATTACTCATTCATCTTCAGTTCATGGATAATAGCCCAATATAAAGCCATGGGTAAACTACATTATAGCTCTAAGTACAAGTGATTACCAGTGAAAACCTTAAGCATTCAAATGTCAAAATCATTAATAATATACTTACCTTTTCCTGTACCTGTTGGGTCACCTCCTTGAATCTGAAGTTCAAAAGAAATATATAAATTACAAGCAAAAAGTGACAACCATAATCTTATCTCTAGTAATTTTGGTGTATGTTTAAGATAACTGTATTCTGTAGAACCCTTAATATACCGGGGTATATAAACTCTAAACATCCTTACTTTCATCAAAACAAATTTTCACAAATTTTGTGAGTTAGTAAAAATAGTTTCAGTGACTTTCACAAAATTTTGTTATTACGAATTCAAAAAAATCCTGAAATCACATAAAACATAAAAATTTCTAGCAAGGAAAACTATTTACAGTCCTTTCATACATGTATGAACACTTAATGACCTGTTCTTTACTCAAAAACTATTTTCCTATTGAAAATGTGTATTCATCAGTGATGTACAAGTACTCCGAGTAAAAATGCCATGGTCCGCACTTCACATTAGTCGATATGGGGTTCAATGCAATGTACCTATACTCGAAATGCCACTATCGCCTCTCTACATCCAGTCGATATAGGGTTGAATGCAATGTACCTATACTCAAAATGCCACTATCGCCTCTCTACATCCAGTCGATATAGGGTTGAATGCAATGTACCTATACTCAAAATGCCACTATCGCCTCTCTACATCCAGTCGATATAGGGTTGAATGCAATGTACAAAGAATGCCACGATTGCCGCTCCACATCCAGTTAATGTGGGGTTCAATGCAATGTACACAAAATCCAAAGACAATTTTTTTAGATCTTTGAAAACTGATTGGGCTTTTATTTAATAAATAAAATTCAAACTGTGATTCTTTATATTCAGTGTAAATATAATAGATTATACAATGTTGAGGTTACATCAAGTATCATTTTCCTTAACCCTAATGTTGTATTTCTGAAAACTGCTAAATTCTGAAAGACTGCGATCACTTCATGGGTGTGTTATTAGACGTGTGATTTATTGAGCAATGAACACATGGTCATTCAAACACAAGTACACAATGTGACAATAATGAGATGCATTTCCATAGCGATATATAAAGGAAGATGAGTTGATAGATGTCGTACATAGAGTCAAATCTGATATAGTGACATGATGAAATGATCACTGTTAGTATTGTATACATTAAATTTGGGTGTGGTTCTTACCCTGTGTGTTATAAATGTACTAAACAATGCAGGGTGTGAAGCGTCAAGAAACCAGGGGCTATACACACATACAAGGCACAATGCTTTGATATATGACTAGATGACAACTTTTGTTAAAGTTGCATTCCTACTTTGCAAATATGTGAAACTGTCGGGGATGGGTTTGAAAATTTGTTTATTTCCATTCAAATGTTTACATTTATTCGCTTCGAGTACATTGATATTTCACGCGTTCGAGTTGGTGCCGAAACGACGTTGTTATATTGTTTCAAATTTCTAGTTGCTCGTATGTCAGTCGTGCGCAGCATTTTCAGTCTCATCTTAGTGAGCAGTGTATTTTGACGTGTATGTTTCACCAGTGAACAAAGAAGTGTTTTGTGGGACCCACTCAAGCATATATATTTTCTCAACCACAGAAACATCTCAGAACAAGATAAAAACATAAAATATGTAAAAATTATGTTGTTTTTGATAAAATTGATTAATCATCATGTAAATTTGGTGATTAATAAAACCCAAATGTTTACCTAAAACTAATCAGGTCTATGCATAGTCTTAATCTTTCCCTTACCTGACTTCCTTACACAAATTTTTCTGCAAATTTGTCTTATATTCTTCAATATTTCTGGAAATAAACCCTCATTTTGGAGCCAACATACAAAATTTTGAATCAATTTTCAGTTTTTACTCAAAAAAATTTGACAGACAGACAGACAGACAGACAGACAGACAGACAGACAGACAGACAGACACATATACCATTATATACAGACGCATTAACTGCAAAGACTCCCATTGTGTACTTGAAAAATCAATTCGATGATTTGCAATGAAATGCACGTAAAATTCACTTAGTTCCATAATGAGTGAATGTTTTCTGTCACATGCAAACACTTGATGCAATATCTGCCACGTTTATTTCATACTCACCATAAAGTTCCTTATAGATCTGTGAAACACTGTGTCATTGTAATATCCTCTTGAACTCAACAACATGAAATTTTCACATGTCTTTGGAACCTGGGGAAAAAAAAAAGAAACGTAATAACAGCCTCAACAAATGTAAATGGGAAAAAACAGTGTTGACAAAAGATGTATTGAACAGACATTGTGAGGCATTATAATCTTACATCTTAATATCACAGAGCCTCTTATAAAAATTAGGAAGGAGGATGCCGCAAAGTATGAACAACAACAGTACAGAGAGAAAATTACGTACCATATCACAGTGTAATTCTAAATTGAGCTGGCCTTTATTTGTAATTATTCTGACATATCCCTTCTTTTTGATTCGTTGATAACGCACAATATCTTCATCAATCAAAGCTGATAAAAAAACATGATTCTGTATGTATGAAATTGAATTACTGGGACTACATGTTAGGAGTATGTGGCCATCG